AAATAAAGACAAATTTACCACTATTGAATCTTTACTAAAACAGCTACTAAAGGGGTCAGGCACAGTGGCTCACACCTGTCATCCCAGCACTTTGGGAGGCCGAGGCAGATCACTTGAGGTCAGGAGTTCGAGACCAGCCTGGCCAATTTGGTGAAACCCATGTCTGTACTAAAAATACAAAAATTAGCTGGGCGTGGTGGTGTGTGCCTGTAATCCCAGCTACTCATGAGTCGGAGGCAGGAGAATCGCTTGAACATGGGAGGCGGAGGTTGCAGTGAGCCAAGATAGTGCCACTGCACTCCAGCCTGGGCAACAGAGTGAGATTCTGTCTCAAAAAACAAAACAAAAAAAAAAAAAAAAAAAAAATGGTGGGCAAAGAAATGGTACAACTTCAAATGCCCTTTATCCACATTCCTTGCTCTGTCTTCTGCTGAGGGAGTATCATCTTTTTGTGTTGAGAGGGATGTTCTCTAATATATTTCACTCTTTTGATGGCAAAAGTCATGAGAGACTTTCTTGACCCACTTGAGCTCTTCCAAGGACTATAACTTCCACCCTGAGATACTTAAGGCTCCTCCACAGGTGAGCCTCAGTTTCGTGGTGACCACACACTGGAAGTTCTGTAGGGAAGAATGGGAAACAGTCTAAAGCCTCTCAGGTCCCGGATGCTGTGCTAGATATGATACAGCCTACTCCAAAAAATCATTCCTTTCCTGGGGAAGCTTGCTTTTTAGTGGGTTCGTGGACACACACATTACAGAGGAGTTTGAGGGATGAGCCATAGATTTGGCAGGTCACATTCTCCAAAAAATAGTAAGCAAACCACAGAGTTTGGAACTGAGTGTTTGGAAGTATGTTCACAGACCTACTAGATGACTCTGTCTATGCGTAGATTTTACATTTCCTTACATGAATTTCTCCCCTTATGTTCTCTCCGACACCTGTATCGTTTGCTCACTCAAGCCTCTGGAAATGAATTTCTCCTGCACTAATAAGTTAGAGAATGAAACGATACTGGGATGAAGTGATGCTTTGGGTTCATTTCCATCTGAGCACCAAGTTTTCCACACGCAGAAAACCAGGCAACATTAAAATTCAAAACTCGGGCCACGGAGTCTGAAACGTATGTTTGCGAACAGTCTGATTTCATGTCTGCCTCTGATGCCCTGTGAATACAAATCGCCTCATTTGGGGCTGGAGGAGCAGAGAGGAGGAAACCCAAGAATGATCTCCAACACAAATCTTTAATTCGGATGAGTATAATAGAGTGTAATCCCATTTCAAGTCTGTCAGCATTCCTTTGATGATTACAAATGAGTCCCTTTTCCCCTGCAATGTGGGGGAATAATCTGGATAAAATAACCCTTTTTGTCTGCAAAGGCCCATGCGATGCATACTCGTGACAGCTTTCAGAGTAGTGTTTCAGAGGCTGAGAAGAGCATACTGTGCTACCACGTCATCTCCTTTCTTTCTCTTGACTTAGAAGATTTTTCACTCTTTTCATGTTCAGTGGCTTCCGAAATTCTCAGGCTTAGAAATCATAAATCATCGTACTGTACCGAGGAACAAGAGAGACCCAGGTCACCAGGTCCTTTTCCCTCCCTGCCTGCTCAACAGGAGACGACAGGTGGAAATGGGAATGTGTGATCTTATCTAGAAGGCCAATTTGTACAGCTTTGGAGGGATATACTTGAAGAAATGCATACAATTTTATAGTCTCTTTTTCATTAAAAAAGAATGTACACTGAACCCAAGTTCAGGCTTACATGCTTCCCTTTGTCAATTTCCTTGTAAAATTAAGGGATAGTCATTTTAAACACTTCGTTCTATTCGCTGAGACCTGAATGCCAGGACACTCGTTCCAAAGCTAACGATGCAAAATGCTTTGTGGACAGGCCACCCTGGACACAAAGATTCAGAATGAAAAGAGGTCTTGAGAACTCCAGTGCTGCGGTCCCACTCTGTGGTGCTGGTCACAGCAGGCTGTGGAGAACCACACAGAGCAGATCTTGTGGTCTTGTTTGTTCTGCTTTCAAGTGCACAAGTGCCTCTCACCTGCTTTCCCTATTTTTTCTTCTTTTAAGTTAGAATGCCCCAGGATGATGATGATGATGATTGATAATGATTTCTGACAGAGACTCATTCTGTTACCCAGGCTGGAGTGCACTGGCATGATTGTGACTCACTGCAGCCTCAACCTCCTGGGCTCAACAGATCCTCCTGCCTCAGCCTCCCAGGTAGCTGGGACTACACACCCCGCTAATTTTTAAAAGTATTTTGTAGGGTGGGTGCAGTGGCTCACAACTGTAATCGCAGCACTGTGGGACACCTGAAGTCAGGAGTTCGAGACCGACCTGGCCAACATGGCAAAATCCCGTCTCGACTGAAAAAAAAAAAAATACAAAAATTAACTGGGTGTGGTGGCATGTGCCTGTAAATCCCAGCTACTTGGGAGGCTGAGGTAGGAGAATCACTTGAACCCGGGAGGCGAAGGTTATAGTGAGCCGAGATCACGCCACTGCACTCCAGCCTGGGAGACAGAGTGAGACTCCATCTCAAAAACAAAGTATTTTGTAGAGACAGGGTCTTGCTATGTTGCCCAGGCTGGTCTCAAACTCCTAGCCTCAAGCGATTCTCCTGTCTCAGCCTCTCAAAGTGCTGAGATTGCAGATAGGAGCCAGTGTGCCTGGCCCAGGATTATTTTTTATTAGTGTTCTAGCTCTCAAAAACCATAAACTAAGGCTTTGAGGCAAAAGGTCTTTTCTTGTCTCAGACTTCTGTGTTTCTCCCTGGCTATTCAAGTCAAGGCAGGTTCTTTGGGTTTGTCAACATTTGCCAAAAGTGCTATATGGTCTTTCCAGGGGATGGCTCTCTTTATCCGGTGAAAATTTTGCTTTTCCGAATGTTTAGTTGAGATCAGTGATTCTCAATCCAAGAGTGATTTTGTCCCTCAGGAATATCTGGCAATATCTGGAGGCAATTTTCTTTGTCACAGCCTTTTAGTGGGTGGAAGCCAGGGACACCGCTAAACATCTTACAATGCCCAGGACTGCGCCCCCACAGCAAAGAACCATGCAGTCCTCGTGCCAAGGTTGAGGAACCCTAGGCTAGACCAGCAGACTTGTCCTTGTTTTATTATCGACACTTTTAGAACCTGAAAAAAGTGAAAACTTTTGTTTTTTTTAATCAGAGTTGAGTCTGGAGTCCCTAGACAGCTCTAAAAGACTCTCTTCTCCACATCTAGCTTGTCTTCTGTAGCCTGAAGGAGGTCTTCAGTTCCATAAAGCCAAAGAAATGAAAATCCACAGGCTGCTATGCTTCTCCACACTCTCTAGCCCAGTGGGGTTTTAGTCAGAAGTTTTCCCCCTTCCTTTCCTCCAAGGACCTTGTCTATGTGTTTGGCCCTTTTGCCTTCATCTCCAGCTAGACTCTTGGCCATCATTAACGTCAAAGTGAAATATCGCTCTCGAGAGGTGTTCAAACTTGAAATCACTCGCTCACTTGACGTGCAAGGATGTGTTTGCAACACATCTCAATTATTTCAAAATCTCAGTGAAACAGTTGCATGATGGGGGTGGATAATTTGATTTGAACATGAAAAAGGAAGAGAGAAAGTCATGAAGATAATGCAGAGTTTTTTTTTCTTTGGCATCTCCCACTGCCTCCCTGACTTTCCTCCTTCCCTGTGTTCCTGCTCTTATTCCCCCTACCTCTCTCTCTCCATCCCCGGCCACCCCACCAGTCTCCATGCACTCACAGACGGACAGCTTCGGCGTTACTTTGTGAACAGTGCATTCAGCCATCTGTGCTGCTGTTATACAGTTATCAGGATACTCTGGAGTTTATGTGGTCATGGGGCTGAGCCCCGTTTTATGGCCCACATCGAGGAGGAGGAGTCATTGGACTCCTCTGAAGTGGTAACTACCATCCCTGCCCAGAGGCCTCAAGACTGCGGAGCAGCTTCCACTTTCTGAGCGTGCCTCCCTCCATCACCCCTTCAGACAAGTCACAACTCTACTTAAAATATTTTTTTCCTTCTGCCAAACACAGAGAAAATATAGTATTGTTTCCAAGAGAGCGAGCAGGGGCACCAGCAGGAATGGGTGTGCAGTATTTGTACAGTTTTGTGACTCAGTCCATCTGAATTTCCAAGCATTTTAAGAGCTTTGTCCCAAAAAAAGGTCTATTGTGTGGCTCTTGGCACTGAAGAAAATAGCAGGCCTGTCAGAACTCTGTTTCAGATTTAATTTTCAAGTGGGTGATGTACGAATGCTGTCCAACGGGAGGGCATTTTCTCATTCCTGCTCACTTTGGTGCCATAGAACTTCAGTTTTCAGAATCAGCTCAGATTAAAAAACTGAAGCATCTTTTCCCTTGACACCCTTTTAATAAAAAGGCACCATGTTCTTAAGCAGAGATTACTGTGGCTCTTAAATGAATATGGCTTCCTGCAATAAAAGTAAAAACATTTGACAATGTATATAATACATTTTTTTTTCAGAGCATCTTCTTGCAAGACTTTACTATTCTTTGTTTCTATACAGTTTGGAAATTCAGGCCTAAAGACATTATTGATCTTCTTAAATGCCTCTTGAATGGAGTATTTACTGCTGGGTATAGACGGTGTAAAAAATAGGCAGAGGCTGGGCGTGGTGGCTCATGTTTGTAATCCCAGCACTTTGGGAGGCTAAGGAGGGCAGATCACAAGGTCAAGAGATTGAGACCATCCTGGCCAACATGGTAAAACCTCATCTCTACTAAAGATACAAAAATTAGCTGGGTGTGGTGGCACATGCCTGTAGTCCCAGCTACTCGGGAGGCTGAGGCAGGAGAATCGCTTGAGCCTGGGAGGCAGAGGTTACAGTGAGCTGATATCACACCACTGCACTCCAGCCTGGAGACAGAGCGAGGCTCCATCTCAGGAAAAAAAAAAAAAAAAAAAAAAACAGGCTGAGGCCAGGCACAGTGGCTCATACCTATAATCTCAGCACTGTGGGAGGCCAAGGTGGGAGGATGGCTTGAAGGCAGGAGATTGAGACAAGCCTGGGCAACATAGCAGGACTCCATCTCTATTAAAAAAAAAAAAAAAAAAAAAAGCAGGAAACACTTGTTTTTGAAGTTGCTCTTTTCCTAATTGTTTTCTTCCCTGGACCTTAAACAGTGGACAGTGACTTTTCTCATCACATGTATACTTTATGTACAGTGTACAATTTGTCCTCCATGTCCCTGTCTTCTCTTGTTGATAAAGATTATGTACTACATTTTTTAAAAAAAAGAACTGAAGGATCATATCTGACCCCTGGATCCCTCTGAACTGTGAATAGATGATAAACTTCTGGGCTCAGAAATTTTCTCATAATGTTGCCAAGCATTAGTCCAGCGTGGAGGCAACTTTCTGCTCAAACCACTCATTTGGGTCCCGTGCCCAGTGTCACCCATCCTCAGCAAAACAACCTTTATTTCCTTCTTCCTGGTTTCCAGAAAGTTCTCCTAAAGCCCCGAGGAATCACCGAATGAAAGGGGCTTTTTACCAACAGGAAACTTAAGTGGAGTGCCAATACACAACATGGATTGCACCAGGCTGGGTCTAAGATAAAACTAGACTGTGGACAACAGAAGAGATAAGACCCACATGGCTCTGCACTGCCTGGGTCTGTTATTGTGTGGGAGGAATGTCTTAGTCTGTTGCTCCTGTGGGTGTAGCTAAGACATGAACTAGGAGCCTTCATCCGTAGAAAGCAGACACCTGAGAACCAATCCCAAACTGCAGGCTTCCACAGAACCTTCTGGAATCTTCTGGAATGCAACTCATTACTGCCAGAGGGTCTTTGATGAGTGTCTACTCTCCACCATTTGTCTTCATTACCCACATATTCTCTTTCCGTGGAAAGGTAAGTTATTAGAGTTTATGCAGTCTGGTATATTAATCGAGAGCTTTAAAGAATGTCACTTTTATGATTCAGTCTCACAGCCTGGGTTAAAATGGCAGTGTTGACTATTAAGTCATAAATTACTATAATGATCCTTAATATTATTCAAGCAAGCTGTGAGAAATGAGCATTATCTCACAATATATGCCTTTTAGTGGACCTGAGGGAAGAGTGTATTTGCTGGAATTACAGAAGCCTGAGAACCACAGAGGAATTCTCACTGCAGGGCATTCAGGGTCCAAGGCTGATTCTATTCTGCATGCTCAGTCCTTACTCAATTTATTTTTGTTTATTTATTTATTTTTTGAGACGGGGTCTCGCTCTGTCGCCCGGGCTGGAGCGCCGTGGTACAATCTTGGCTCACTGCAACGTCACCTCCCGGGTTCAAGTGATTCCCCTGCCTCAGCCTCCCGAGTAGCTGGGATTTCAGGCACCCACCATCAAGCCTGGCTAATTTTTGTATTTTTAGTAGGGACAGGGTTTCACCATGTTGGCTAGGCTGGTCTCAAACTCCTGATCTCAGGTAATCCTCCTGCCTCGGCCTCCCAAAGTGCTGGGATTATAGGCATGAGCCACTGTGCCTGGCCCTCAATTTATTTTTTAATTAATTAATTAATTAATTAATTTTGAGATGGATGTTCGCTCTTGTCCCACAGGCTGGAGTGCAGTGACGTGATCTCGGCTCGCTGCAACTTCTGCCACCCAGGTTCAAGCGATTCTCCTGCCTCAGCCTCCTGAGTAGCTGGGATTATAGGCACGCACCCCTACACCCAGCTAATTTTTGTATTTTTAGTAGAGACAGGGTTTCACCATGTTGGCCAGGCTGGTCTCGAACTCCTGACCTCAGGTGATCCACCCGCCTCGGCCTTCCAAAATGCTGAGATTACAGGCGTGAGCCACTGCACCTGGCCCCTCAATTTAATTTTAATAAAAGTATCAGGGAAATAAGCCACAAAAGGACAATGTGCAGATGTTAGAACAGAGCTGTCCAATAGAAATATAAGGTAATCCACATATGTAATATTAAATAATTTAGTCGCCATATTAGAAAAAGTAAAAGGGGTGAAATGAATTCTCCTAGTAAACTTTATTTAACCAACATATTCAAAATAGTATTATTTCAACATTAATGAATACTTAAAAATTCTTAATGAGATATTTTATGGTTTTTTTTTTTTTTTTGCTTATGAAGGCTTGGAAATCTAGTGTATATTTTACACTAACAGCATATCGCAATTGAGATGGCCACATCTCAAGTGCCAAGTAGCCATGTATGGCCTGAGGCCACGACTCTGGGCAGTACAGCTTTGGGTAAGTCTAGGGCAGGGCAGAGGGGGGCACCTGGGATCAGGTGTGGAGCCTCAGGCCTTCTTTAGCACCCTTTGGTGAGGGCACTTTCTTTCCATAAAACCCAGGTCAAGCGTGCCTCACAAAGGGGCCAGGGGAAGTGCCTCAGTTTACTTGGGAGCTTGGCCTCTCCAGCTTGCCTTCCTGCTGCCTGGAAGAAGGTTGCTGTCCTCTCGCCTTCTCTAGCCCCTTTCCCAAGGACCCTCCCAGAATTTAGTCCTGTGAAGGGCCAGGGGTGCAAGGAGTCACCCACACAATGACAGGACCCACCAGCAATACCAGAAGTTGGCCAACCCTACTCATCCAAATTCCTTTCTGCCAGCTGGACGTCACAAAGCTTTCAGACTGCCATCCTATGGCAACTCCATTTTGGGTTGCAGGGATGTAAGGGTTACTATATTAGTCCATTCTCACTCTGCTAATAAAGTCATACCTGAGACTAGGTAACTTATAAAGAAAAAGAAGTTTAATGGACTCATAGATCCACATGACTGGGGAGGCCTCATGATTATGGCAGTGGAGGAGGAGCAAAGTCACATCTTACATGGCAGCAGGCAAGAAAGCTTGTGCAGGGGAGCTCCCCTTTATAAAACCAGATCAGGCAGGGCACAGTGGCTCATTCCTCTAATTGCAGCACTTTGGGAAGCCAAGGTGGGTGGATCACCTGAGATCGGGAGTTTGAGACCAGCCTGGCCAACATGGTGATACCCCATCTCTACTAAAAATACAAAAATTAGCCAGGCGTGGTGGCTCATGCCTGTAGTCCCAGATATTCGGGAGGCTGAGGCATGAAAATTGCTTAAACCCAGGAGGCGGAGGTTGCAGTGAGCTGAGATCACGCCACTGCACTCCAGCCTGGGCAACAGTGAGACTCGGTCTCAAAAAAAAAAAATTAGATCTTGTGAGGTTTATTCAATGTCATGAGAACAGCAGGGGAAAGACCCACCCCCATGATTCAGTTACCTCCCACCGGGTCCCTCCCACAGCATGTGGTGATTATGGGAACTACACTTGGAGATTTGGGTGGGGACACAGCCAGACCATATCAGTTACTGAGCTGGGCGTCTTCTTCCTTGAATGCACATTAACCTCTGAGGCGCTTCCCGGTTAACCTCCTTCCACAGCTGAGAAAACCCAGGCTTGGCACAGGCAAGGGATCTGACCCAATGTCTCCCATCTTATTAGTGGAAGGACCAAGACTGAACCCACAGCTGTGCTCCTGTTTTGAGTCACCATGCTGCCCCCAAGATCAGATCTCAAAACAAGCAGACGTGGGGGCCTCAGAAACTCCCCAGCCTAGAAATCTCCTGTCACCCAGCAACGCTAAGGGCTAAGCTGGCTGCTTATTATTCTGGATTCGCACTAGAATGACCTTGGGGTGTATTTCACACGTGCTGATATCTGGAGTCTCACTCCCAGCTAACTGAATATGAATCTCTGGGTTGGGGCCTGGGCACTGATATTTACACAGAGCTTCTGAGGTGATCCTAATACATCGCCAAGGTTGACACCTGCGGAAACATCGCACACTTTTCCATTTCTTTAGTTATTAAATATGTAATATTTATTATTAGTTTTCCAGACACAGAAGTGTTGCAAGAATAGTACAAAGACATCCTTTATACCCTTCACTGGGATTCCCCAGTGCTACCATTTTACCCCATTTGCTTTATTATTTTCTAAGTGGCAGATAAGTTGTCCTTTACCCCTAAATATTCCTGTGTACTCCTTAATAACAAGGACTTTCTCTTATATAACCAAGGCAATGATCCAAATCAGGAAACTAACCCTGCTACAATACGGTTTTCTAATGTATGGACCTCATTCAGATTTCGCCAGTTAACCCAATAATGTACATTGGAGCAAAAGATAATCCCAGATCATTCATTATTTTAGTTGTGTCTCTGTAGGTCCCTTTTAGCCTGGAACAGCTCCTCAGTTTTTTTTTCTCTTTCATGGTATTGGCATTCTTGAAGAACACAAGACGGTTATTTGATAGAATGTCCCTTAGTTTGGATTTGGCTGATGTTTCTTGGTGGCGTATTCTTATGCATTTGGGGTGGGACTGTCACAGCAATGGTGTCGTGTTCTTCTCTGTGCATCGCATCAGGAGGGACATGTTGATGGTTTACCCCCATTACACCAAAGTGAATGTTGATCGTTCAGTGAAGGTGGGCGCAGGTTCATTGCATTATATTGCAGAAGCCATCGTCAGCCATACTTGCTCTGATTAACCGATCATCTTACGTGGCCATTTATCTAACAAAGCTGTAAGGGTCTTGAACTCAGGATGAGCAAGCTTTAAAGCAGAAGAGAAGAAAGAAAGGAAGGCTCTGGAACCTGGAGCTTTGACCAGGGTACAGGTCAGGGGAAGGCACCACCAAAGTTGCTCCTGGTGTTAGGATGAAGAGGAAGGAGAGCATTCTGTCTAGAAGGGGTTTGGGGTTAGAGAGAGGGGCACAGGAGAGTCAGAGCTGCCCACTTATGGTTTTGCTGAGGGCTACACCGTGGCAGGCAGGTCTTTCATTGCTGCTCTTGAAAATTTTGTTTTGCAACCCTTCATCTGAAACAGAGCAATTCCCTTTTTCTAAGTTTTGGCCCACTTTGCAGGTGCTTCATCTGTCTTCTCTTCTCTTATTTTTGGAGACAGGGTCTTGCTCTGTTGCCCAGGCTGGAGCGCAGTGATATGATCATCGGCCACTGCAGCCTTGACCTCCTGGGCTCAAGCGATCCTCCTGCCTTAGCCTCCTGAGTAGCCGGGACTACAGGTGTGCACCACTGCACCCAGCTAATTTATTTTATTTGTTTTAGTTTTTTGTAGAGACAAGGTCTCACTTTGTTTCCCAGGCTGATCTTGAACTCTTGGCTTCAAGTGATCCTCCCGCCTCAGCCTCCCAAAGTGTTGAGATTACAGGCATGAGCCACCATGCCCAGCCCTGTCTTTTCTCTTGGGATCGATGACTTCCGCATTAGCTCCAGGAATAATTTCTGTTAAGGTGATACCTTCTGGTAACTTCTGGTAACTCCGGTTGTTTACCTATTGCTTATCTCCAGAACCCATGTGATGCTTCCCACTTCAAAGCACACTAGCGCCTGTCAGCTTGAAGGCATCCCCTGAGCTGCTGGCAAACGAGGCCTTTTTACCCACAGATTAAACCTCTTATTTGTTTTAATAAATGATCAAAACTTGGTTTGCCTCCTGTGGGTATGTTGGTTGGGACCAAGAGGGGGTGGTGGTGATTTCTGTCCACCTGGGACCTCAGGCCGCCTGGTGGCCCCTGAACAAAAGTGAGGCACGCAGAACAATGAGCATGTTCCCCGTCTGCCTCGCTGCAGTCAGTGTTTCTGCCTGTGGTTGTCTTTGGCGCTTTATCAAGATGTGTCACTCCCTTGTCTTTGTTCCCCTCCTTCTTATATTTACCTTCACCTGGGCTGCTAAGTGCTGCGGGAGAAACATCGGGTTGTTGTGGAGATTGTGGCCACAACAAAATTAGGTTCCCCACCCTCAGGTTGTCCCTGGCTGGTCTCTTCCTCATGCCTTTGAAGAAAACAACTCGTGGAGGTCGTCATACTCATAAAGGTGAACATTTCACAGAGCAGGGCACTGCTGTGGGTTGAGTTGCATCCCCCTTCCCACAAAAGACTTCTTGGAGTCCTGACCCCCCAGTACCTCAAAATGTGATTATATTTGGAGATACTCATTACAGAGGTACTCAAGTTAAAATGAGGTTGATAGAGCAGGCTTTATCCAGTATAATGGGTGTCTTTATGGCAAGGGAACATTGGCCAGATGCAGTGGTTCATGTCTGTAATCCCAGCACTTTGGGAGGCTGAGGCGGCAGGATCACTTGAGGCAAAGGTTCAAGACCAACCTGGCCAACATAGCAAGACCCCCATCTCTATTAAAAAATAATAAAATAGCTGGGTGTGGTGGCTCATGCCTGTAATCTTAGCAGTTTGGGAGGCCAAGGCGGGTGGATCACTTGAGGTCAGGAGTTCAAGACCAGCCTGGCCAACATGGTAAAAACTGTCTCTACTAAAAATACAAAAAAATTAGCTGGGCATGGTGGCGGGCACCTGTAATCCCAGCTACTCGGGAGGCTGAGGCAGGAGAATGGTGTGAACCTGGGAGGTGGAGCTTGCAGTGAGCTGAGATCACACCACTGCACTCCAGCCTGGGCGACAGAGCGAGACTCCATCTTAAATAAGTAAATAAATATAATTATATATATATAGGAAATTTTGGACACAGATGCACACAGGGAGAAGGCCACGTGAAGATTGGACTTGGGCTGCCACGAGCTAAGGAGCTGGCGGAAGCTGGGAGGGAGATCCTTCCCTAGCATCTTCAGAGGGAGCATGGCCCTGAGAATGCCTTCCTGTCAGCCTTCTGGCCTGCAGGTGTGAGGCGATGCATTTCTGTAGTTCTAAGCTACCCAGCTTGGGGTACTTTGTTATAGCAGCCCGAGGCATTTAATACAGCAGCATTCGGAGCCCTTCCCATATAAACTCTTCATTTAATCTTCACCACAACCGCCCCGCCCATAAGTGCTGTTGTTATTGTCTTCATTTTATCTTCATTTTATCCATGACATGTGCAGCACAGAGAGGTTCAGTAATTTGCTTATGGTCACTTGAGATAATAAACCCCCACCCTAGGAAACCTCTTATGCCTGCTTTGGCTGTCAACAAAGCTCTCCTCTTTCCTCCTGTCCCCTTCCTCTCCATCTCCTTTATGAGGCCTTCTTTGTTGTCCCATCTCTTTTTTTGCATTTTTACTTTTTATTAATTTTTTTTGGCGGGGGGAAATGGGGTCTTGCTGTGTTGTGCAGGCTGATCTTGAACTCCTGGCCTCGAGCTGTCCTCCTGTCTCAGCCTCCTGAATAGCTGGGATTACAGGTGTGAGCCACCATACCCAGCTGTTGTCCCGTCTCCTAAATGTCTGCCTTCCCCAGCATCCCTGC